GAAACTCATACAGGTAGCAGGGGTCTTCACACAAGTGTTTTCCCTGAAATGCGCTCACTATGCTAGGCGAGGTCTGTTGCCTGTGCAGACTGCATGACCCCAGAGCCAAGCAATTCACGGGAGGCTGCCTGTCAATGGGCTGCAGACACGCTGTGGCTTGGGTGAAGTGAGATGTCAGGAAGACACGGGCTATCAGGCCAATACAGCCTAAGTTTTGCTGCAACTTCTGTGCCTGGGCATTCTCGCCGTAGTCACAGATCAGTTAGACCAACTGCTATCTGGGGCGGTCCCACATTCCCCTGTGCTCCCAAGACACAATCTGCAACTCTTTCAGGCATCAAAGGTCTGCTTGCCATTGATTTCTGTGCAGTGCCCGCCCTCTGCTAGCCAAAGTTTGTTGCCTGTGTTGATTGGGAGGAGGTGGGAAGGGCAGGACTGTGGCAGTTCATTGTCAATGGGCCTCCTAGGGCAATATGTGGGTAGGATGGGGCCGGTTCTCAGGGACACAATGGCAGTCAGATCAATACGGAGTCAGTCTTCCTGCAACTTTGGTAACCATTTGCAAGTTCCCACAGAAGTCTCAGATCACAGCAAGAACAGCTGCTGTCTGAGACAGGCCCACAGATCCCCAAGATCCACCCAAGTTCATGTTGGCAGCAGTAATCTGCCTTCAACTATCTGGGAAATGTACGTTCACAGTGCTGGCCTCCAGTTGGAATGGTTGGCTCTGGATCAGCTCAGGGTGTGGCAACCATCCAGCAACAAAAGCCCTAGGCGATCTGCAGGTTGGGTGGGGTGGGCTGATCCCCTCAGGCCAGTGCTTCCTAATGGCCTTGTGGGAGGGGTCTGCACAGTCAAGCTGGAGTGGTCTGTAGATTGCCAGGTGGGGGGGAGGCGGGACTAAGGCACAAAGGTGGCTGCCTTTTCAGCCCTTGTTCTGGTGCCCGGTAATGCAGACTTTCTCGGTATGAATCCCGTGTGAGTCTGACCCACCGCCGGTGTCCCCAGGTGAGTGTCCGCAAATCAGAAAGCTTGTGTGTAGGTCCTTCAGAGGAGCTTTTAGGTTTTCAGTCTCCTTCCGTCTCACTCAGACGGCCAGAATCCCCTTTGATTTTTACAGTTAAAGTTATTGGAATCTCCTCTTCCCTGAGTTGGGACCCTGGGCTGGGGATCCCCCAAATGAGACCGGGATGCCCCTCTCCTTCAGGAGAGCCTCTGCAGTCTCGCTTTCTCTCCCAGTGATCCTCCATCACTGGTGGGTGCAGGTCCAGCCCGATTTGTGACTTTGCTGCTACTACCAGCTTTAATGTAGCTCCTTTATTTTATCAGACATAGGTGTTACAGTCAGCTGGAGTTCAGGTGATTGATTATTTTATAATTTGGTCATAATATCAATGCGGACCTTGGAGGAGACAAACTCTTCTTTTATCTAGTCCGCCATCTTCCTCCTATCCAATCTATATTTTAACTTTTTACAAAGCAAATGTATTCCTCTGTCAACTATGTAATTAAAAAAAATAGAAAAACATGAAAAATATATACAAAAATACAAAGGCATATCAAAATTGAGATCTGGGAATGTTGCTAACTCTCTGGCAGTCATTTCTCCTCTGCCTTAGTTTCTTCATCAGGAATTTGAAATATTGGTTTATTGTTATTTAGGTGTTTGAAAACCTCTGAACTATGTAATTTCCATGTTTAAGCATGGGATTAAAGACCATAATTTGGAGTATTTGAAGGCAGACAGTAGTCCAGTTTGGAAGGAACCCACCCAGTATTCCTGAAGGGCATAGTAGAAGGTAAGAAAGGAAATGCAGATTGAAGCCAGATTATGGTAATATTTGAATTCCAGGGTAAGAGATTTGGACTTGGGAATGAGAAACTATTGAAGATTTTGGCGTATAGGAGTAGCCAGTCAAAGTGATAGTCAAGGAAATTGGTGTGTGGGAGGGATTGGAGCTGGGAGATCACCCACAGAACTCACCTAGCGAGTGGCGGCCATGGCAGTAGGCATGGAAAAGGAAGAGATGAGGACCAGAGGTATTCTCTGATTTGGAAAAGACTCCCAAGAACTGAGGGAGGAGGCAGTAGTCAGTTGTCTTGCTCACTCTTATGTTTCTCAAAGTTAGTGGTTAGGCACATTATAGTTCCAAAGTAGGTATTTGCTAAATTCAGCTGCATTAACCAAACCTTGCTTAGAGTTCAATGAAGGCTGAAGAAAATAATCTTCAAATACTCTGAGAGTGCTTCCAGGAAGGCCTTCCAACTTGCCAGACTCTGGCCATTGTCTTCTTTCTTGTCATCCAGGAGCCCATGTGCACTAATTGCAGTGTCGATGTAAAACATTTATGAACAGGTATGCATTAGCCTACACAGGTAGTTGGTCAGGGGGTTGATACGGTATTCTGGGCTGACATTGAACCCAGGAAAGATGAGCTCATGGGCTGACCTGTGTCAATGCACTTTGACATGCAGGCAGACAAAGGCTTTCATCTACACAAAACAGGAAGCTTTCAAGAACAGAACATAGAGTTTACACCAGAAATTCATAGCCTCAGACCCAGGGGACAGTTTTTTGGACCCTGGGCCTGCAGCACAATTGTGCCTTACATAACAACTTTTTACAGGCTAAGAAACATCTTCCCTTAAATGTTGGCTCCACAATGGACAGAGATTTTTATGATTTATTGTTGCTGTATCTCCAGTATCTGGTACATAGTAAACATTTAACACAGACTTAATGAATGAATCTACCAGTGATTCTTTCACATTAAAGTAGCATCTTAACCCAACTAGTGAGCTTATGGGGTTGTTGCAGTGTAGTAGATTAAGGTGTTATGTTTTCAGAAGCTCCTTATGAAGGGTCCTGCCATCCAGACCTTTAGATCTTGCCAGAAGGAGCTTCACCACTGGATTTTGTATAATCTGCATCTACCTAGTTGCAGTTGCCTTTCTTCCCTTTCATTGTTATTTGAAGTATGGCTTGAATCTAAATTTAGTTCTGTCTTTACCCATCTTTTTACCCATCCCACCCCCTGCCAATATTCTGGGCTCCTTCCCACTGGAACTGTTTCAAAGAATCATCTCATTTCAGCCATCCGAAAGCCAATATTTTATTTTGACTTGACTATTTTAAACTCCTGAGAAGAAAAGAAATGGTTCTTATCTTTTAAAGACTTACCTATTGTACCCATTTCATAACAGAAATTAGCTTGCTTTGTGAGAAGCTGGGAAAAACTAACAGATTATTAGAGGATGAAGTTTTTATTGTTACAAATGGATGGTATCATGTATATGATGTGTTTGCCTCAGTGCCTTAGAATCACTTTTTTGAACAGATATGTTTCTTGAATAATCATCCCTCATCATTGCCTATTGATTCTATTAAAGGGCAGCTATTAGCATATCGAAGACCCAAAGCTCACCTTTGGAAGCTTGAAAGAGGTTCTGGGTGGAGATATATATATTTTTTTACATTTGGCGGTATATGCAAAATACATTAAAATGAGTGAGTACTACTTGCTTAGGACTGTGGCAAATAAGTAGAATATATGCTGGTGACATCTCTAAATTCGTGAATGGTAACTATGCTCCCCACCCTCTGTGAGGCAAAGGGAGAGGGGAGAATACATAGAGTTGGGAAGTAACTACTGTCCCTCTAGCTTTATCCCAAAGCCTCTGTCCCACTAAGGCCACCCACCAACAGGGTTTTCTGGAGCCAGAAATAGGAATGCATCTAAATTGTGTCTTAGCTTCTTGGGGCTAGAATATGGACAAAAGCTGGGAGTATGGAGGAGAAAGATGGATTGTTGAATAAAGTGGTTGAGAAAACTGGCAAGCTGTTTGGCTAATTCCCCTGGAAGATCTTACCACTCTTCTCAGGTTCTCACCCTTTCTTCCCCCTCCCCTCCATTTTTCCTTCTTCTTAGGACTGGAGTGAAATTAGCCATGTCCCTGATTTAAGTTAAGTCATCTCAGATCAAGAGACTTCTTACCCAGCCTCTCCAATGGAGGTTTTTTCCTTTATCCCTTTGCCTTCATGATTTGAAATGGTTAATCTCAACCTCTACCAACTGTATCTAATTCTGACAAGTCTAATAATTTTCAGCTTACCTTGTCCTAAGCCATTCCCTACTCCTTTCTTGTCTTCCTTAGAGCCAGCGGTAAAAGGTGATAGCACCATGATTAAGAGCACAGACTCTGGAGTCAGTTTGCCTGGCTCCTATCCCAGCTCCTCTACTTTCTAACTGTGTGACTTAGGACAAATTTCTGAACTTTTCTGAGCCTCAATCTCCTCTTCTGTGAAATGGTGGTAATAATGGTACCTGCCTAGTAGGACTGAATAATAAACTTCATTGAAAATGCTTAGCATACTGATTGGTGTATAGTAATTGTTTAGTTAACAGCTGTTGTTATTATGTCGTATGGAGACATTTTTTACCATCTCCACTCCAACTTTGAGGAAGTAGAGATCTTTGCACATCCAAGGAATTTTACAAAAAAAATTTAATGATTATTTGCACATCTTTTGATGGAAATCAACGCCCAACGCTGTTTTTGATATGCCCACTCCAGTATCCAACTTTGGTCCCCGTGCTCATAGGTGCTGTGATTGACAATAATCCAGCTATGGCATGTAAGATGTATTGCTTAATCCTTATTTTTGACTCATCTGTGCTGACTCGATATGCCCCAGCATGAATGAATTCTACTTGCCATAACTCTTCTCTCCTCTGAAACCGCCTTAGCCAAGAAGTCTCTTAGAAATGATTTAGTCCTACCTTTCCCCATTGTCCATTTTACAGAGAGGCATAGAGAGAATTAGACTCATGCCTAGGATCAGCAAGTCACCCTAGGGCCAGGCCTGGCATTCAGTTTACAGGGATCTCTGGTTGAAGGCTCTCTGAATACCAGACAAATTTAAATTAACCTTTTTCTACTTGGCTAGAACCTTCTCAAAGAAGGAAGCTAATCCATTCTTTTTCTGCCTTCTTCCACAGCTCTGGGTGAACCAAGAGGATGGTATAGAGGAAGGGCCCAGTGACGTGCAGAATGGGCACCTGGACCCCAACTCAGACTGTCTCTGTCTGGGCCGGCCTCTGCAGAACCGGGACCAGATGCGGGCCAATGTCATCAATGAAATCATGAGCACTGAGCGTCATTATATCAAGCACCTCAAGGACATTTGTGAGGTAGGCCCAGCTATGATAGTGCATGTGTGGGCACTTAGGGTAGAGTAGAGGGCATTTCTGTGAAGAACCAACAACCCCCTTGGGCCTTTCCTGTGACAGTCCCAAGATGTAAGAAAGAGAGCTTAACTGGCTTCCTAGATTCTGTTCATCAAGTGAAATTGTTCCTTGGGGCTTCTCAATTTCTCTCTCTCTCTTTCTCCCATTTCTCTATCTACCTCTCTGTCCAACTTTCATATTCATGTTCTCTTTTTCTCATTCTT